ACTCTTACAATATTCTAAACAATGTTTCTAAATTCTAAACGCTCTAAAAGAGCACAGAATGTCATGATTCCATATCCCTTCCTCGTCTGCTCTCTGCCACCTGCAAGCGCTCTTGGCCACGCCCACTTCTCAGCTCTGCACAGAGAACAGCTGATCAGCTGCAGCACGAAGTTTATCCTATAGTAAGGGCTGCACAAAGGTGCAGGAGGTGCCAAATAATTTAAAACAGTTTATTTTAAATAAAAATGTCATGCTCATCGTGCGGCTCATCCATCAAGCAGCCAATTGTGTGTCATGTCCAATCTTATTTGAAGAACCGCGATAGAGCGAGTCCACGACAAACACATCTAAATAGCGAGGGACTACTGTACTAAGTGTTCGGGTTTTGCTTTGAGCTACCACCATACCAAACTTCAGCGCAAAATATCAATGAGTTATTGTCATTTTTTTTTCTTTTAAGCTATGGTGGCCATCTTGGATTTTTTTATTTGTATTCAGTATGTGATGGGGAACGTTCTCAGCTACAATCACATAAATATGCAGCTCATTATCTCTAAAACTGGCTGATTTACAGTATTTTTCCTTTTTTTAGCTCAGGTGGCCATCTTAGAGATTTGATTTGCAACCAGAGTCTATAAAAAAATGACTAATAAAAATGGCATTTTTGCTTGCAAATTACGTCGCCACGGTAGCTCTAATCGCCAATAAAAGTAGCACACATCGAGCTGGTCGTTTTGATATAACATTTGTGGGGGTATGCATTGTGGTTCGGCCTGCATTAAAGTTGATGGAAGAGTCAGATCTAAAGTTAAGAAACCCTTGTCAGGTGGATAATAATAGGTGGCTGCCTTAATAGGCTGTCCCCAATTTTAAAAGGGTTGGATGACACTAATTTAGGATTTCAGAGGCTTATCCTTACACATGATGTGTGGAGATGTTGGAGTTAATGATGACAGTTGCTTTAAATACAATTAAATGATTATTTATTGTTTATAGGAATAAAAGCTTTAGGTCAAAGTATCAAATATCTTTAACTCTACTGCTCTTTTCCCATGATTCTCCTCTAAAATGACATTGAAAGTAAAGTTAAAAGAATAGTTTATAAATGGATCTAAATAATGATTTACTCTGCGGTCTTTACCACCACATGGGCACATGACCGTTAAACTTACATGCAGCATACAGTCACCCCCCTCCCCCCCATCTTTCACCCTGAAATTCACATGACGACATGTAAATAAAACTTCATCTTCACACCATGTTCGCTGTAATAAAGTACAGATAATGATTGTTATTCCTGTTCCAAGTTTAAATCACCTAAACATCTCAAAATGCACCATAAATCTCTGAAAAGATGTGTTTGGGTTCCTGAGGTTTATTTTAAATTCAGCAAGAGATGTTTGTGGTCACAGAGAAAGATGATTATTATTAGAATTATTGACTTTTAGAGGAATAAAAATTACGCTTTGCTCAATTTATTCATCAGAACGAAACGCTGTAGTAGGTTGTTTCATCTTGCAAAATCAACAACAACCAAAAAAAAAAACAAACCCCATTCACCCACCATAGAGCTTTTTGTTTCCTCTCTCAGGTCTTGTTTGGTGAGAACATTTGCTAACCTTATGTTGTATTTTCAGGACTGTGCTGAAGAACAACGATCTGAGGTCCAGACAGGAGTTAACAGCCCATCTGACCAATCAGTGGCCGTCTCCGGCAGCCTTGGACGGCAATGCTGTTGCCTTGGATACGCTGATGTACAGGAAGAGCACGGGGCAGTGGGAAGAGTAGGTCGATAAAAAAAAAAAGTCAAACAGCTTGTGTGATTCTGTTCAGCTAACATTTTCACATGGGTTTTCACCAGTTCAGCTGTCGTGCTTTACCGTTCAGACAGTTTCTCACTTTTTAATGAACCGTTGTTTCCAAACCAGCGTGCTGCAGTTCAGATGTTATCACTTCTGCACGTTCAGCTCACAGGTTCAGTTCACTGTTTATTGGTTGTAAACTACATGCCCACAACTCTTTATACTACAAAAACACAATGAATGCATTAAGAGAATGACAAAATCTGTAGGGATACAGAGCCGAGCATAAGCTACAAACTCCCTTTTAAATAACTTTTAAACTTGTCGTATTATTTTGTTAATCATTTATCATGATGACTAGTTTTTTAGGCTTTTTAAAAGTTCTATTTTAGTGTTTTTATTTTAGACTTGGACTGCTTTTTCACTCATTCTTAGTCCAGCCCTAAAGGTCCAATTTAAAATTAGTTGTTTGCTAATTGCCTGTCAGCATGCTGACACAGCACTGGCTCATCCCTTGAGTTTAGGAGCCTATTTTGCCTAATAATTCACAAGTCAGGATTAAGTGAACTAATCATTTGAAAACGGTCAGGTACAGAAAATGAGTGAAAAAATAGCCAAGACCAAAAAAAAAAAAACCTTTAAAAACCCTTCACAAAGTACAAACCGGATTCCAAAAAAGTTGGGACACTAAACAAATTGTGAATAAAAACCGAATGCAATGATGTGGAGGTGCCAACATCTAATATTTTATTCAGAATAGAACACAAATCACAGATCAAAAGTTTAAACTGATAGAATGTGTCATTTTAAGGGAAAAATCTGTTGTTTCCAAATTTCATGGCGTCAACAAATTCAAAAAAGTTGGGACAAGTCCATTTTTACCACTGTGTGGCATCCCCCCTTCTTCTTAGAACTCTCAACAGATGTCTGGGGACAGAGGAGACCAGTTTCTCAAGTTTAGAAATAGGAATGCTCTCCCATTCATGTCTAATACAGGCCTCTAACTTTTCAATCGTCTTGGGCCTTCTTTATCGCACCTTCCTCTTTATGATGCGCCAAATGTTCTCTATAGGTGAAAGATCTGGACTGCAGGCTGGCCATTTCAGTACCCGGATCCTTCTCCTACGTAGCCATGATGTTGTGATTGCTGCAGAATGTGGGCTGGCATTATCGTGTTGAAAAATGCAGGGTCTTCCCTGAAAGAGATGACGTCTAGATGGGAGCATATGTTGTTCTAGAACCTGAACATAGTTCTCTGCATTAATGGTGCCTTTCCAGACATGCAAGCTGCCCATGCCACAAGTGCTCATGCAACCCCATACCATCAGTGATGCAGGCTTCTGAACGGAGCGTTGATAACAACTTGGGCTATCCTTGTCCTCTCTGGTCCGGATGACATGGCGTCCCAGTGTTCCATTAAGGACTTCAAATCGTGACTCATCTGACCACAGAACAGTCTTCCATTTTGCCACTCTCCATTTTAAATGACCCCTGGCCCAGTGCAAACGTCTGAGCTTGTGGAGCTTGCTTAGAAATGGCTTCCTCTTTGCACTGTAGAGTTTCAGCTGGCAACGGCGGATGGCACGGTGGATTGTATTCACTGACAATGCTTTCTGAAAGTATTCCTGAGCCCATTCTGTTATTTCCTTGACAGTGGCATTCCTGTTTGAGGTGCAGTGACGTTTAAGGGCCCGGAGATCATGAGCATCCAGTAGAGTTTTATGGCCTTGACCCTTACGCACAGCAATTGTTCCAGATTCTCTGAATCTTTTGATGATATTATGCACGGTTGATGATGATAACTTAAAAGTCTTTGCTATTTTACGCTGGGTAACACCATTCTGGTATTGCTGCACTATCTTTCTGCGCAACAACTGTGGAATTGATGATCCTCTTACCATCTTGGCTTCTGAGAGACACTGACACTCTGAGAAGCTCTTTTTATACCCAATCATGTTGTCAATTGACCTAATTAGTGTTAATTGGTCTTCCAGCTGTTCGTTATATGTTCAATTTCCTTTTTCCAGCCACTTATTGATACTTGTCCCAACTTTTTTGGGATTTGTTGACACTGTGAAATTTTGAATCAACATATTTTTCCTTTAAAATGTTACATTTACTCAGATTAAACATGTGATCTGTCACCTATGTTATATTACGAATAAAATATTGACATTTGCCATCTCCACATCATTGCATTCAGTTTTTATTCACAATTTGTTTAGTGTCCCAACTTTTTAGGAATCCGGTTTGCATGATAAACTACTGTTTAGGACCAGCGTAAAGATCACAAGGAAGTCCAGCTGCTTAGGAGCAAAATATAAAGAAATGACTCTGAACTTTAGTTTGGTACTAAAGGTTTACTGCAAATGCACAGATTGTTCCTCCAAGTGTAACGCCCAAGCAGTTTTTGAGTCATATGCCATGCCTACATAATGTTACAGAACTATGTGGGGAATAATCCCACAGCAGGAATCGGTGGATTAACATAGTGCTTTCAGTTTTGCCAGATTGGGCAGTTTACTGCCAATTGGGTGGTTTTCATTCTGATTTTGCTGGAAACTCTGTGAGGATTTTTGCTGGATTGTTCCATTTTGCCACATATTGTTAAATTACCTTGGCTTGTACTGATGTGCGTTCATGTACAAACAGTAAATATACTGTAAGAATATATTGACTGGGCAGATTTTTGTGTGATTTGGCGGTTTTTAACATTTTGGGCTGGAAAACCTTGACTCTATCTGGCAACACTGGGTGCTTTACTATTGAATAGTCAAATCAAAAAATAAAGACAAAGCCACAACATTTTACTACATTCAAAGGCTAAAGATTCCCCTTCTACAAGCAGTGAGTGCATTTCTTCATTGTGTGTTTCTCTGTCGTCTTCTGGCAGGAAGAGTTTCCAGAGTCTGGAGCAGCTGTCCACAGACATGAGCCTCTCTCAGGCGTCTCTCGGACCTTCGAACACGTTGCCTCTGGAGTCCAGGCTGGCCAGCACACAGTGGCCTCACCAAGGCATGGCTCCTCTAACAAATTAAAACAAAAAGAGGACTTCATCTCTTCACCTGAACAATAATCACATGTACCTTGTCTTTCAGGTAAGGAGGAAACTCCATCACTCAGGGGTCTGTGTGGCTCCCTGACCTCGGTGACCAGCTACAAGTCTCTGGCCAGCCTGAAGTCAAGCGAGTGTTTAGCCAGTCCGGCGACAGAGATCAGCAGTCCAGGGGTCACTCCTTCATAGAGGACGAGGAGCTATCCAGGAACTCTTTGTTTGTAAAGCTGATTTTCTCTGATATGTCCTGAATGTGGAGCCCAGAGCCTGACGAGATGTCGGCGAGTTGTGGAGCAGCTTCGTCTGACTGAATAACGTCCCGGCTGACACTGAAGATCTATAAACGAAACCTTATGGGTGAAAAATATTTTGCTGTGTTTGTAAAGTTTTGCATTATTTACGTCCTGCCTTATAAATTAAAATGGGTAGATCAGATTTTTTTTTTTTTTACGTGGGGTTGTTGAAAGCTTACAAACCTCAATTCCTTCCTTGTTGCAGACATCTCTCTGAAAGTAAAACCTCAGTTTGGAGAAAGTTTAACTCTGATCAGACTGACGAGCTAACGGCTAGCAGGAATGTTGTAAGAGCCATTTCATAAACTTCACTGGATTTTACAGTTATCCTGGCTGAAATAGCTGTTCATGCTGAATGTGATCGAAGTTGAAAAAAGCCATCAAACTTTATGTAAATGTTTTACATGAACAGTGCAATATAAGTAGCATGCGACTCTCGTTTTTATTTGTCCTTTCATTATTGATCCTGTTTTGTCTTAACTCTAAGCTCTGCACAAGAATTCCTTTGCGTTTGAGGGCAAATGGCAAATAAAGACTTTTTTCATTTTAATTGTGTAATGCAAAATTGATGCTTAGCCGATAATAATAATTTTTAAAATAGTGTTTGCATACAATATCGGTACTTTAAAATGTTTGATCCCAGAGTTGCTTTAAGGCGACAGCAATCCACCCTGCTCAGAAGCCACACGATGCTCGTCAGTCCGATCAAATTAAACTGCATTTATTCACAAGCTGTTCAAAAAGATATCGACAAGTATTATTCATAACCTCGCCACAGAACCCTGCTTTAAAATATCCCTTGAAAAAAAAGTTAAATTGTGCCCATATTCACATTTCAGTATTGCAAAGATTTTTTTAAACTAGTGTTAAAAGATGACTCAGATTAGGGCTGCAGTCTGGAGGATTACTGGTAAAACTTTCCAACAGTCACAAAAACTTTTATTTGCTTTTTTACAGCTCCAGCTGAGTAATAAGCCATTGCTTTATTAATTTATGTCGTTTGTCTTTTTGTTTTGCACCAGGATTATTTTGTAAAAGCTGTGAATCATGTTTCATCACATTGTTTTGTTCTCAGGTGAACTCACCCTGCAGTTCTGGATTCCTTCACGTGTCAAACTTGAGGCCTGAAGGCCAAATATGGCCCTTGCTACCATCGTATCTGTCCTCCACCCCCAAAATGATATTTTCAATGTAAAATATTTTTATCACTTCTCATTTTGCTTAAAAAAAAATCATATTTTGTTTAGTGCAGACTCCTCATGACAGCTAGCTAATTTTGAAACAGAGAAATAATTTTGATAATCTTTGAGGTGAGGATCCTGCAGCCAAGAAAATGTCAGATATCAGTTCATGTATTGACTAAAATTAACCCTTGAATGATTTTTAAACATTTTGGGTCCCTTTTGCAAGTTTCATAAACCTGCTTTAATTATTAAAATACAGTTTTTCACTTTTAATGATACGGTGGCGCAACTGGTAGAGCTGCTGCCGCTCAGCGAGCAGGTCCCTGGCTCAAATCCCGGTCCGGGGGCCTTTCTGGGTGGAGCTTGCATGTTCATTCCGTGCATGCGTGGGTTTTTTCCAGGTACTCCGGTTTCCTCCCACAGACCAAAAACATGTATGTTAGGCTGATTGGTAACTAAATTGTCCCTAGGTGTGAGTAAATGGTTGTCTCCATCTGTCCCTGTGATGGACTTGCAATCTGTCCATGTAATTTCCTTTTTGTTCGTCATTTTAAATAAACTCAACTTCCTTTGACACCAGTATGAGTTTTTGATCAACAGGAAGTGTTGGGAGTGGTAAAACTTGCAAGACCAATAAAAGGAAAATCAGTAGCATTTGAGAGGTCACTTGTTTATTTGTCAGTCTCCTCCTGTAAACGGAGTCAGTTATTGCTTTTAGAAGTGCTTTACTGACACAGTGAAGCGTCCCTGTTACACAGTCCATCTACACTGGCTCATGCAAAGTCAAAAAAATATTTACTTCTCTAATTTAAGGACATTAGGCATAGTGCACATGATCACAAAGAACACATATGAGGATTTAACAAAACAATGGCTGCCATCTGCTAGCTGTTAAATCTAACAATCTAAACCTTGTTTAGATGGATAAATATAATTTCAATTGGTTGTACACAGATTTTAGGATGAGTTATATTACTAAGTATTTAATATACAATTGAATCATCTTTAATATATTTCTGTACAATAAAAGATTAAATAGTTTGTTTTTCCCTCCTACTTCTGCGTTTTCCTTTGGCAACATTAAACTTTTTTCCCCTACACAGTGATTTGTCAATTGGTCACGTGTTACTGGACTGCGGCGACCTCAGTATCCTCTCCTGATTGTGTTTGCGGAAAAAGCTTTTTCCGAACTCGTAAGAGCTGATCATGATCGCACAGGCTGGCGCAACTTTGATCAACCTGGGCAAGAAACCTGGCAGAGAGAGAACAATTATTAACACGATTATAATCCACATGGATACAACTGTAAAATCAGACATATTTGCACCTGCAAACAGCCCCTTAAATCCGTCGTGCGCCACAATATTTTTCATCATGCTGAAGGTGGACATGGACGACTTGCATGGCACTGAAAGGATAAGACTTTTAGTTGAGCTCTGCTGGTTTATAATCTTAAAGCCAACTGCAGTCATATAATATGAAAGAGTTTCCTGTTTGACAACACAATCCAGAAAAGATGGGTTTTAAACTTGTTTCTGTTGGTTCAACTTCTTCCTAAAGAGACTGTATTAAGACTTTCTGAAACTCGATTTCTGCCCGTTTAAAATGTGTGGCTGTGCAGGGAGCTTCTTGTGACCCTGTCGACTGGTAATCACGTGCCAGTCAGGTGCTTTTTAAATGTGTTTATGGGCACCTTAAATTCTTTAACAACTAAATTTCATCAAAAATAACATTTTAGAGTGAAGGACTAAAATCCTTCATAGTTAACGAAGTGAAAGCATTAACATGATTAAACATTCATGTAAACAATCAATAAACTGGGTAATAATTACAATTCTTTGCTTGCAGTTCCCCAAGTTCAACCTGCCTTCTTGTTTTGACCACATCAAATGGTAGAGTAACGATGGCTGCAATCTGAAACAGAAAATCTGAATTAAGCAAACCATTTATCAAATTGATATGATTTTAATCAAGACCCAATTGTTTCTAAATAGTGGGCACTAAAGAAAAGCATCGGACACTCACAGATCCCGACACCGCTCCAGATATGAAGGCGATGCTAAATGTGGGCTTGCTGGTTTTGTACCGCTCACACAGCCAGCTCTTGCTTCTCTCATAGTTGTACCAGTACATGGCTGAGAAGGGCACGTCTCGGAGCAGCGTGGGCCCCAGACCCCTCCAGAGAGACCGCCAGCCTTCAGCCTCCACCGCAGAGCGGATGCAGTCAGTCAGCTCCCTGTACGACTGTTTCTGAGACTGCAGCTTGGTGCGGATCAGCTCCAGAGGACTGATCACTGTGGCTGAACCCACTGAAACAAAAACGAAGCAAAGCTGCTGATGAGCCGCTCCAAACAGAACATCGCAAAAAAACTAAACACTGGAAAACAAGTGACACTAAAAGAGGAAAAAAAAGCTTCAATAAAAGCATTTATTTTCATTTAGAGAATTAATTTAATAAAATATAATAACTATTAGTGGGGGCGTGGTGGCGCAGAGGTTAGAGAAAGTGTGATCGAAAAGTCGCAGGTTCAACCCCACGGACCGATGACATCAAAATGTGGGTGGGAAAGGTGAAACACCTACACCTGCCTCCATCCTCATTTGCCCCACTCTGGGCCCTTGATTAAGGCCCTTAACCCCCATCATCTGCTCCCCCATGCACCCTAGATGGCAGCTCTCTGCTCCACACAGAGGGCTGTGGTAGCTCGGTGGTTGTGTCAGGAAAGGCATCCGGCGTAAAAACAATTTTATTTGTGCGAGTTGGATCGCTGTGGCGACCCCTCAAGAACGGAACGGCCGAAAGAAAAAAAATGAATAATAAAAAAAAAACATTACAGGCAGTTATTAATACTAGAGACGAAGTGGATCAGGTAAGAACATTCATCACCTTTTTTAATAAACTCTAGTGTGAGACAATATTTCATACAGCCAAGGCCAAAGGACAAATAAGTATATTAGAGCTTGTGCTTGGATTATAACCAGGAAATTAAATTCTAAACATTAAATCTGCTACAAATGTATTTGGCTGAAGTACAAACTCTCATTAACAGGTCAAAATATATGTTTTAATCTAAGTATCTTTGTTACACTGAGCTAATCCGTCCAAACACGCTGCATACAGACGATTAACAACAAGTGATGCTGAAGCTCGAAGCACTTTCAGCAGCTGGATGTCTGAATGACTAGCGATCAGCTCACCTCTGGCTATAGCTCCTGCTAAGAGTGGAGCCTCCTGGGCATGATCTCCCATCCTCATCCTCAGCACTGCACACAACTGGTCATAAGACGTGAAGTAAATCACAGTGGCGGGCACTGCCATCACACTGGAAAGACACGGAGCGATGACAACATTGTAAAGTCCCCATTTAGAAATGATGGGGTAGCTTGAAACAAATGCTGTGTTCTATTTAATTTTCAGACCTGATCCATGTTCCAGATGCAAGTCAGAAAACGTGAGATTTACTATAAACAATGTAAGCCAATAAAAACACACTTCTCTGCATTTTAAGCATTCAAAACACTGTAGAAACATGTGTACTAATTATATTTGGACAGTACCGTGAGTGTGACTAAATCACTGACATACAAAAAGACAGAAGTGAAAATAAAATGTTCATTACTCTAGAAATTAAAAGATTTTCACGCACTAGGTTGGATTTTGAAGTCAGGACTGGTCAAAAAGCTTTGACTTTCTGAGTCGGAGTTCTGACTTTGGGAGGCATTCCAGATGAGTTTTCTGACTTGGAACTTGAAATGTTGACTTTCAAGTTCAGACAGAACACAAAGTCCACGTCTAGTTCAACTTCACGTTAAATGCACGTTACGAGCACGAGCCACAGGCTTGATAAAATTGAACTTGCCAGTAATCATATTTGCCTAATTTCAACAGAGCAACCTAAATGTGAACCTGTTTTGGCCTCAACAAAGGCAAAAATAGACTGAAAGCAACAGAAGACTTTATACTCACAGTGTTGGAGGCAGCCCGCTCCATAAGGCCCTGACTCCCTCACAGCGCACTATTTTGTAGAAGGCATCCTGCAGAGATATTGAGTGAAGAGTCAGTGCAGTTGAAGATTGAAATTATGTGATTTCACTGCGTGATTTGATGGAGAACTTATATCTTCCATCTTTAAACATTAAAAAATTATTATTATTATAGATTGTGAAATGTATGTGTAAAAATCTTACAAAGGTGCCACTGAAGTGACCATGGGCTCTAGACCAGCCATTTTCACACACACATACATAGTCCATAAGTCCATTAGAGTAGAGAAAATATCTGCCTAAAAGATATTGGGGAAAAAAGTACATGTAAAGTACAAGTATTATATTATAAGACCACATTAAAGTGTGTAAACACAATTCAAATTAGTACCGGTATTAATTTTTACCTTTGAAGAAGGTATTTTTCTGTGCTTGAAGTCGGATCTTTACGACATCAAAAGGTGTGACTGGAAAAACAATGAATACTTGCTCAGCCTGAACTTACGTGTACACTTCAGTGCTTATTCAACAAGGGTAGCAATTTTACTTACACCCGTTTTCCTAAACGTCTTTTTTTTTCATGCAAAACATACAACGAACTGCATCTCAAGTGATGCAAAACACTAAATAAAAAAACAAAACAACATGCATCTAGTTTCTACAAATAAGTCTCATAATTTACAGATTATTCCACATTATCTGTATTTTCTAAAATAGATTTTTTTTTTCAAATGTCAGGGAATTTTTGGTCTAAGGTTATGGATGTTTTTATTATTGTGGCTGAGAACATTCTTCCCCTCTGCCCTGAGAACAAGGAGCTGGGTTTATCACTTATATCAGTCTATAAGACTGAAGAAGTCTTTTGGATAAAAGACGAAACTTTTCAACAAAGAAGAATCCATCCAGAGGACCGACTGTATTATTGAGCGTGCATAAGGAAGGAGGTGGGTTGTCTCCCAAAACAAACAAACTGTCTGCCTAAACACTCTCGTCTCGAACTGAAGGATGAATCTTAGATGCCCATGAACCATATGTTTGTGCAAACAAAGAGTTATATGACTGCAGCTGACTTCAAAGACACCCCCTGAACTCTGCTGAACTGAGGAGGATATAAAAGTGAGCGGAAAACGTGGCTTATTTCTGTGACTGGTTTCCATGTGTGTACATTTATGTATACCATATACATTTATATATACAGACACTTTCCAAAAAATAGAATATCATAGAAAGTTGTTTAACTTCCATAATTCCATTCAAAAAGTTAATCTTTAATAGATGATAGATTCAGGGGCCACAATTTAAACAATTTCAAGTATTTGTTTATTTTTACATAATTTGGGCTTCCAGCTCATGAAACCCATGAAAACAGAAATCCAAAAAATTAGAATACTCTGAAGACATCAGCCCACACCAATTCTCAGTTTTTACAGAAGAAAGAAATTAGGATCTCAACAAAAATCAAAATATGGTACTTTCAAAATTATGTTAATCTTCAATACTTGGTTGGGAATCCCTTTGTCTTAATCACTGCCTCGATGTGACGTGACATTGAGACAATCAGCCTGTGGCATTGACTGGGAGTTATGGAAGCCCAGATTTCCTTGATGCTTGCTGTCAGCTCTTCTTTGTTGTTGGGTCTGGTGCCCCTAATTTTCCTCTTGAGATTACCCCAATTGATTCTCAATGGGGTTTAGGTCCGGTGAGTTGGCTGGCCAGTCAAGCACTGTGGCATGGGCATCAAACCAGGTTTTGGTGCTTCTGGCAGCATGGGCACGGGCCAGGTCCTGCTGGAAGATGAAATCTGCATCTCCATACAGATCCTCAACAGAAGGAATCATGAAGTCCTCTAAAACATTCTGGTAGAATGTTGCGGTGACCTTGGATTTAAGAAAGTAGAGTTTACCAACACCTGCACTGGACATATTGCACCCCAAATCATGACTGACTGTGGATATTTCACACTGGACCTCAAGCAGTATGGGCTCTGTTCCTCACCCTTCTTCCTCCAAACCCTTGTACCTTGATTTCCAAATGAAAGACGCACTTTACTTTCATCGGAAAAGAGGACCGAGGAACCCACCAGTTGTAGCCCATATCCCGGATTCATCTGAATGCGGTGGTTTTTGAAGCTGTGACTCTCGCCTCATCCCACTCTTTCTGGATCTCTGCCAGATTCTGGAATCTTCTCTGTTTGATAATCAGCTGAAGCCCACGGTCATCTCTTTTACTGGTGTATCTTCTCCTGCCACATTTTGCCCTTCCACTAGACTTTACATTGATATGCTTGGACACAGCACTCTGTGAACAGCCAGCCTCATTAGTTATGAACTTTTGTGGCTTACCCATCCTATGGAGGGTATCAGTGATGGTCTTCTGGCCAGTTCTGTCTGCAGTCTTCCCCATATTGAACCGAACAAACTGAACCAAACTGAAGCAATTTAATGACACCTGGGGAAACCTGAAGGTGCTTTGAGTTTAGTAGATGATTAGTGTGTCACACAGGGTGTAAAACTCCAGACCTCAAGGTCCAGAGTCCTTTAACTTTTAGATGTGTCTCTGATGCCACACAGCTGAATCGTATGACTGAATGAGCTTCTCAGTGCAGTCAAGTTCTCCAAAGTCCTGCTAATGACCTCCTTATTTGATTCGGCTGTGTGGCATAAGAGACACGTCTAAAAGTTGCAGGACTCCAGCTCTCGAGACCTGGAGTTTGACATCTGTAAAACATTCATGCCCTGCAAAATTTGGGCTGATGTCTTCAGAGTATTCTAATTTTTTGAATTCTTGTTTTCGTGGGTTTCATGAGCTGGAAGCCCAAATTATGTAAAAATAAACAAATACTTGAAATTGTTTAAATTGTGGGCCCTGAATCTATCATCTATTAAAGATTTACTTTTTGAATGGCATTATGGAAGTTAAACAACGTTCCATGATATTCTAATTATTTGGAAAGGGTCTGTACTGTAACTGTAACCTGTCTTGAAATCTGACCTTGCAAGTAAAATGCCAGATGTAAAGTTTCAGCTGCCATAAGTTGTGGTTCTTTTGAGTACACAACGTCAGAGAACAAGAGAAGTTCTCCAACATTTAACCCAAGTATTATTCTATTGAGAACAAAAGCACTATAATAATGACTCATAATCATTTAATCCAACTTAACAAACACCTAAAGTGTTTTTTGACCAGCTATATGCTGCAAATTATAATAGTTATGAGCAAAAAGTCAATTAAGTCAATTATCTTTCAGGTTAAGATTTTACATTTAAGGATAATATAGAATTTTTTTTATCTGGGCATCAATTGTTCTTAAAATTATAAAAACAAAATTTGACATGAACAACAGCTTCCATAAATTTAAGAAACGCTGATAATCAAGTGAAATTGTCAATCAGGAAAGGCATTAGCAATTATCTCTAAGATACTGGCCATATTAAACCTCTCCACAGCACTGAAACTGCCCTACTGAAGGTTTTTAATGACATCTTCATATCCACAGATACCAGTCATTCTGTGCTGCTTGTCCTATTGGACCTCACAGCTGCCTTTGACACCATCGACCATGAGATCCTCATTGCTAAGATGGACCAGTGGGTGGGCATCACAGGGTCAGCCCTCGATTGGTTCAGATCCTACCTCGATGACAGATCCTTTTGTGTCTCCATCAAGGATTTTAGTTCTGCAGGGGCAGAGCTTAAATAGGGGGTTCTGCAGGGATCCATCCTGGGTCCCCTCCTATTCTTTCTATACCTGCTGCCACTTGGTGCTATTTTCCGGAAACACAACATACCCTTTCACTTCTACGCCGATGACTGTCAAATTTACTTCCCCCTAAGACACAATGGCACATGCTCTATTCAACCTCTGCTTGACTCCCTGGCTGACATCAGAGACTGGATGGCTTTAAATTTCTTAAGTTTCAATGAAAAGAAGTCTGAAGTCATGTTGTTCCCTCCCAACGACACTATCACAAACCACTGCATCGACCTTTCTACTCTAGCCCTGTCAGAAAAACAAAGAGTCACTAATCTGGGAGTGATAATGGACCCTTCCCTGAAACTTAACAGTCATGTAAACATGATTGTTAAATCATGCTTCTTCCAGCTGAGGCGGCTGTCTAAACTGAAGCACATATTGTCCAAAAATAACATGGAGACAGTAATACATGCATTCATTACATCCAGGCTTGATTACTGCAATTCACTCCTGTTTGGTATCAGTCAGACCTCCATAGCACGACTACAACTTGTCCAGAATGCAGCAGCCCTATTTTTAACCAGTACAGGCAAAATAGAGCACATTACACCAGTTTTGGCCTCACTGCACTGGCTACTGGTTCACCTTCGAATTCAGTTCAAAATACTCCTGCATGTCTACAAATCGCTGAACAGTTTTGCCCCCCCATCTGCTACAGCCATATGTCCCACCACGTTCTCTGAGGTCAGCAGACCAGTTGCTCCTCACAGTTCCAGGAACTCATCTGAAGCACAGAGGTGACAGGGTCTTCTCTGTAGCAGGACCAAGACTTTGGAACGAGTTACCTCTGCTTGTCAGACAGGTCCCCTTCCTCTCGGTTTTCAAATCCCGTTTAAAAACACACTACTATTCAGTAGCTTTCAACACCAGATGATCTGTGTTTTGAACCTGTTTGCTTCACACTGGTTAGTCGTCATATTTATTATCTGCATCGTTTTAGGTCTATATTTTGATTTACTTTATTTTGTATACTGCTTTGTGTGTTACCTGTTGTTCTGTCTGTACAGCACTTTGGTTGACCTTGTCGCTGTTTTAAGTGCTCTATAAATAAAATGGCATGGTATATGCCTGACAAGGAAAGCCCTTTTCACAAAATATCTTAGTTTTAAAGAGTAACAAAGGTATAAAATGTACGGTATTTAAAATTTGAAACGAGGTGGTCTTTAATGAGGTCATTTTTTAAAGAAAAGTACAAAACTCTGTGGAAAAAAATGCAAATCCAAAAACAAAAACCTAGGACAAAATTCCTGAAGCACAATCAATGTCATCCTTCAAGTACCTGCATTTAGAGCTGGTTCTACATACTGTTCAATCCTAAAGGTGTGTCTTACCAAGCAGAGAGGTGAGGAATGCCCCGGAGCAGGAAGCCAACATCTGCTGCAGAGGAGTAATGCCATCACTGTCAGGTCGAGCAGGCTTTTGACCACTCATACTGTCTTCTAAAAACAAAACGTACAGTATGACATCCAATATACAGGTCAGTTAACACGGGTATATAGCTTTAATTTAAAAAATATATAATAATTCATAGCTTAGTTTTAATGCTAGGAATATCCCCTTATCAAATTATCTTTCTCTCTCGTTAACGTTGTTAGCTGATTAGCTTAATTAACCTACCTACTAAAATAGCACAATATGTGCGACGTTTTCCATAAACATGTTAATCATATTCCATTTTGGTATTTTTTGTTTCGTAAAAGTACGACCATAACCGCTGCCCCGAAGGCTCTAATAGTAAAACACTAGTCAAACTCGTGTGTATGATCTGACCCAAGCAAAGCTAGCATGTCTGTTTACCACAAACGTTACAAGATGACGTTAGGGTCGTCACCAGTTGTTTTAGTTCAGCACATTCTTAACTTTTTCATTCACGTTCACTTTAACTGCATTTAAACTATAATTTATTATTATATAAATATTCACATTATTTAAACTTGTTTATTTTGTATATATGTAATTTCATTGTTTAAATTCTTCTTATTTGTTTGAAAGAAGTATCGAAACTTCACAGTCAAACATACAAGCTGCATTTACTTTAAGTAAAAGTTGCCAAATTTGATGAGATATCCGTTCGACCGCACAACTCAAAGTTTGAAAGTAGTGACGATATAATATACGAAATACCAAAAAAATGCTGAAATAATAAGTTTTAAATACATTAAAATGTTCTATTTCATGTAATTGTAATATTTTTATGCTTTTTAATGTCAAAACCGAAAACTAGAGATACGAACAGAAAGCAAGAAACATGGCAACCCATACCTGACGACACTGGATTTAAAAGCGGGAACTGACCGTTAAAAATAATACTACGAGTGACACGAAGTTTTTTTTGTAGTCTTGTTGAAAAGGATGTTCAACTGGTTGCTTTGAACGACTTTGTAACTTTGAGGTTACGAGAATGAAAATTCAAGTAAATTCAGGACTTTTATTTTTGTTTAAGAAATGATGGAAACGTGTATAACCGTCTGGAAGTGAGGTACCTGAACGAGCATGAACTTTGGTGTACCTGTCCTGAACGTAAGTCTGTTGATTTAAACCCCGGAAACACAGTTCACCTAAAATGTTACATTGTTTTTGTTCTTGCTTTGTTTGTAAATAACTTCTTGTTTTTTTAACTAAGCTGGCAAAAACTTTATGGGGAAGGGAAAGGAGACGACCTTTTAATTCTCTGTGAAAGAGGAAAAACATGAAACCGAAACCCTCCCAGAAGCATCCAGGACCTGACTGGCAAGGTTCGGGTTTTCTTTATTAATGTTTTATTAAACTGTAGTAGTTTCCATGTTTGATAATGTCAAACTCAATTTAAAATACCTTTTTTTTTCGGGTTTCATTCAGACCTCCCTTGCAAAAGAGATCTGTGATCTCAATGGGATTTGCCTGATTAAATAAAGGTTAATAAATAAATACTATAAGAGAACTTCCAATGTTAGCGTTTGAAAAATATGGTTAGTTTCATTTCTACAGTTTTGTAGTCACATCTGTTAGTAAAACATTTAACTACCATTACAATGTACACCATATATCAAAGTTGCCTGCTTTTTAAACTTTAAAGCTTTTATAGAAAAGTTCAGTCACATCATTTTTAGGTTGATACTTTTGACTTGTTGAGTAATGTTTAATTTCTCAATTACTAACATGGCTTCTAACAACATTTTTAGATTTACAGTAATGAACCCACACACACACTATTCTTTGCAAAGTTTGACCTTAATGTCTTATCTTATTGCAACTCATTTACTTTGATTTCTTTTCTCTTTTTCTTTGCAACGTGGTGCATTTTTAGTTAACACATATCTAATATGCTTCCTGAAAAGTTCTTTTCATCACTAAATCCCATGTGCACGTTGGTGTTTGTTTATACATAGTTTGCACAAGAGAGTGAAGCATTCCTGACACCATCTTTAAGAGTTTAACAATGGCGAAATTGTGGGATCAGTTCTCTCATTATATGAGACTAAAGTCAAATACTGAGATAGTTTCGATGCAGTGACTGTTAGAAGATTAAAGTGTTAGGAACCGATCCATATGAGGCAAAAGTAGGTTGATTTTAGTAAAGTGCTATGTGTTGTCATCACTGAATGTTCCCATACAAAGACGAAATTGACTCTGCATTTAACTCCTCGCACCTGGGATACACCCAGGTGGAGCAGTGGGCAGCTATGTAAGCGCCCGGGGAGCAATTCAAGATTAGGTGTCCTGCCAAGAGACACCAGTGTGAGTTTTGAGTTAGTTTTGAATTTTTAGTGTGAGTTTTGAAGTTTTTTAAACTTCTAGTCTAGATTGTAAAAAAAACAAAAAACATTTTGACACTAAACATTTTGACACTTATCCTGTGACACTCGTATAACAGAAAAAAATAGTAAAACTTCAGCACTAGTTCTTCAGAGTTGTGATTGAGTTGTGTAATAAAAATAAACTATTTAGTTAACAAGTGCAAGAATATATTTCAGGTATTGTCCTTGTGCATGCTCTAATAATCCAGGTACATAAATGTAAAGGAGGCCATCTTTGTGAAGAGAACTCGTCCATCGTTAAACAGAGGCGGAGGCCTCCGTGTTCAACTGCCCCCTCTTACAATGCTGTTATTGCAGGTATCACTCAGTGTGAATATCAAGCGGCCATCGGTGGACTAATGCTCAAGTGTTAGGCTGATGGTCCTCCTTTTGCATGTAAACAACTAGTTTTGGTTGTCACCAGCAAACTGGTTGATCCACTGGTGCTGCTTATTCTAATTTTCTGAGATGCACCTATACATGGAGAACACAGGGACAGCACTGTACACATCGTGAGACGCGTAAACTTTACTTTCCTAAGCAGGAAAAAAGCTGTATTTTGTCTTCAGTAGGCCTTTCTCTTCTTTAAATGATATTTAGTGTTTGCTATAACAAACATCATTACTTAAGTTGTCTGTCAAAATATTAACATCCTGTGACTTTTATGATTTCTCTTCAGGAAAAGGTGTAAAAACGAGTGCAAAGACGACAGTGAAGCAGTCAAAGCAGACATCAGCGCCAGTCAGGCCTTTCGCTGGCAAAGTGTTTTATTTGGACCTACAATCTAATCGAACAGCTGAAATTTTGGAGAGAGATGTCAAAGAACTAGGAGGGGTAAGTAAAAACTTACATTGGTACCACACAGATTTTTATTTAAATATTGGAACTGTACAACCCATGTTTTCCCCATGTTGAATCTGTAGCAAAGTTTGACATATTTATTGTTGCTCACAATAACTCATCTTATTGTGCAGATTTCATCAATCTTTATTTTCTTCTATATATGAAACATCGATTTATTGTTTATTTAGTGTCTTTATAATTATAGACTTGCTTAGACTTTTTCCTGTATGCTATATCCAAATATGTCCATACCTTGTATATTTTATGTGCTACAAGACATATAATCAAAAATAATGTGCGGATTAGTTTCTTTACAGAACACCACCTACAGGCTGTAGGTTCTGTGAACACCTACACAGTCCAGACTACAGACAAGTGTCCTTGCAGCTGCATGGCTGGTTTAAAGCCAAGCAGTACATCTCAGTGGTAGCCAGCATTCCTAATATTGTTGAAAAGCAATATAAAGTTAATATAATATTATTCTGATAGTTCCACTTGCATCTAAGCTTGTACCTAAGATTCATTCTTTGGTTCTAACAAGATTAAAAATGTGTGTTTTTTATGTTTAAAAGAAGAGTTTTAGTTGTTAAACACAAATAAGGCTAGATTGCTCTATAAAGTTAAAATTCACCTTATTTATTCTTTTCAGTCCTAATCTTGTTTTTTTTTCCACGTGTAATTTGCAACTTGTCATGTTTGGTGGCTGAACAAATCGATATAAAACACATTTTGACATATTATTGCTTCTTTCTGTTTTCTGTCATTTAGACGGTTGAGAAGTTCTTCAGTAAGGAAATCAGGTACTTGGTGTCTAACAAACGGGAGGCAAAGTATGTGAACTGTTTCAGACAAGACTGTCCCGTCCCCAGCCCCGACTCAGGACCGAGTTCACCTCACCCTCACTCCAAACTGCAGCGTCCTGTCAACAATGTGGACAACAAACACAAGTCTCAAGGCCAAGCAGACACAGTTAGTTCTAATTCATATATCTTCTATAATAATATACTGTACATGTTTTTCCAACCTATTTTAGATCTCTTTCCTTCTTATTATTTTTATTATTACTGATGCACTTTGTTTTCTTCTTGATGTTTTACAGTTGGTCAAGAGCCGAGGGCAATCCTTGGTGGACAAAGTAGTGAAAGAGCAGGTTTGTTATGTCAATGCTAAATATACTTATGGCAATTTAGGAATGTTAATATTAAAATATTAATGTGTTTTTGGTGCTAATATTCACTCATTTGTTTTTAGAAGAGGGTACAAATGGACAGAATCTTGTCAAAAGCGTTGGAGTGGGGGGTTAAAATCCTCTACATTGATGGTTAGTTTTACTGTATATACAGTCTTTGTTTTTAACATTACAGTTATTTTTGTTTCTTTCTTGTGTATAAATGCTTGACTAAATAATGATGCACATTTAATAATTGTTCTTTGTGTATTTGCAGATGTATTAGCATACGTTCAGAAGAAAAAGAAACATTTCAACAGCCAGGTTGTGGCCACTGCTGCTGTCAAAGCAAATGTAAGTTAAAAAAAATGGGGAGGACTGATATTTTTTTAAATTGATTAAACGTAAGTTTAACTGTGGAGATGTGTTTTTCCTGTAATTTTTCAAAGGTGAAAACTGACTTGTCATCAAAGCAACACTTCAAGAAACTAAAAGGTAAGTATCGTGCATGATGAAGGATGTTTTTGAGCTCATGTTATTTTACGTTTATGTGTTCAATGACCATAATTCTTACAGTTCCTGCATAAAGGCTTGTTGTTTGTTTCAGGAGGTCGGATCAGTAGACCTTTTGTCAAGGTTGAGGATTCAAGCAGGTAAAAGACAAGTCGATTTAAAAGAACCTGAGATTTGTTTCCTGTCCTGAATGTGCTGATATTAAATCGCATCTTTTCATTTGTCAGACACTATTGTCCAATCTTCCTCACAATGTCAAACATGCCTAAGTTCAACCTAAAGACAACTGCTCTATGTAGTCCATTCTGTCTCGAGGATCAACTTCCCTCTGGAGCCAAACAGCCGGGACACAGGTATTGTCCTTCATCATTTTAGCACGTGAACTTTGTAAGATTCATGTATTTCAAGCCTCAACTTGTTGCTTATATTTTACCCTAATTATTTTCAACATAACCACTGTGTCTGTGCATCCTTTAAAATTTCTTAAATTAATTTAAAAAAATGTGTAAGTTGAACTTAAATATGTTAAAGGCCTTATAATTTGTCTGGGCAGGAGGGATTAAAGTTCTCTGTTGCCAGGACAGATTTCTGTCATTGTACAAATGAAGAGGGGGAAAAACGTGTTTTAAAGCCAAGCCTTCCAATTTAACAATGATACAGGGATTAAACTGATGCTGTTTTCAACCAGTAAAGAGAACCACAGTCACTGTTTGACCCAATCAGAGCAGAGCAGGGTGGGGCGTGCTGTCTGGTTCACGGTGAGTCCAGAGCAGAGACAGGCTGTAGATGAGAACACCAATCGGTGTTTCCTGGACTCTTTTCTAAGGAGGACATCTCTCTCCCCTAACTGAAGGTGATAACGTGGAATAAATTATTAAACGTACACGTTCGCACGTGACCAATTCACAGCAGTCGGGGGAGATGCCAGAACTGATACACAATCACCCATTCCTCCCGCACCGTACCCCGACCTCCTCGGGTCTTTTGTATCTAAACTTTATTAAATGTTAATAGTATTAAATGTTAAAGTGTTTGGGGAATTGTCATCATCAGACAGACATGTTCAACTTGCACGCTTGACCAGACTTCAGGTCTGAGAGAGAGCGCTGCCACAGGAGCACACAGCCTGAGTCTCACAATGGGACAAACTGCGTATGCTGTTTAATTTTTATCATTAAACAATATTAACACTAAAAGTCGAATATCTGGATGCCCCATAGCAAAGATGTGTGTCTCTGTTTAACTTAAAGCATCCCCCATACTCACAAAGTTCTCTGTGAGAGTTAGTTTCAGGTGCTCGTAGTGTGTGCTAAACTTGTTTATGGTTAGAACCACGCTGAGAGGTAACTGTACTCTGATCTGATAAATGTAATTCAGTAAATAGTGAAATATATAAATAATTACCGGTAGTATTACAGTACTGGTAAATGACTACCGGTGCATGAGTTGAAATCCTGCAAATATAATTTACATTATGAGGCTACCTTTTACTAGCTGCTGATGTATATCAAAGTCAAGGTTTCTTTATTGTCATTCTCACCACATGTGGTACATGTGGTGGAACAAAACTATGTACACAGGATCCCAGTTACATAAAAAAGTATAAATTGTAAAAAGGAAGAAAAAAAACAATAATATGATCTAAGATATGAACTAAGAAATACACAAAACTAAGAATATGCTAATCACTAGTAGTACACAAACGACACGCTGAACAACAGCAGCACGAACATGAGTCTGTGTGAGCAGATGAGTACGAATGAACACAGCAGCATGGAATAAATCAGCAGCATGAGATCAGCAGCATGGATAGTCAGCAGCACATATCAACAATCAAGTGGCATTACAGTGATTTTTCACAGTGATACCCCTGATTCATGAATCAAACAGCTTCAGAGTAGAAGCTGCTCCTCAGTCTAGTGGTTCTACACTTCATGCTCCCCAACCCTCTGCCTGAGGAGTGCGGGGCAAAAAGTGCTCGTGCTGGGTGAGTGGGGTCCTTCATAATGCAGTTATTGATATATGTGCTTGCTGGCTAGCTCTTCTGCAACTAAATCATTTGTTGGTGCAAATTTATGGACAATTGGCAAAACTGGAGTTTAAATTAGACTCTTGCCATGAATGTATTCAGTAGATGTCTTTTGTTGTTTCCAACCAAATAACTGAACTTGTACATACAGCTATTAAACCAGAAAGCACTGAATATCACTTTATTTTCATTAAACAGGAAAAAAAAAACTAGACTTGAATGTGTCTCATTGAGTGACACACATTCTGTGCTTCTTTGTAATTCAGCAGGTTCCCCCAACCATCGCCTATTAATGGGTTTTTCGGTTTTAAATTTCAATAAAGGTGGCGTTAAAAAGGTCTTAAAAAGTCTTAAATCTGACTTGCATAGACCTTCAGATACCCTGATGGCAAACCGAATTTTACACCCAATTTTTTTTCTCCCCTCTATAATGGAACAATTCAAGGTTTACACTGAGTATAAAGTGATCAAAATGCACTAATCTGAACTTGTTTTCATCTTGTTTTTTTAATCCTTGTGGGAGGAACAGAGGTCTAAAAGCTTCAGATAATGAGGAGAAAGTTCAAGCCTTAAAGAAGGGCAGAGACAAGAGACGAGGCGGCTACTGCGAGTGCTGCATGACGAAATACAACAACCTTAAATTGGTACGTAAGTCGAGCTGTATACGTTTTACACTCTGGTGTTTTTTAGTTTCCTAAACGTCCCTATCTGTCTTTTATTTTTGATAAACTTGACGAGCAGCATTGGGTCTAAATGGATGTTTGAACTATACACATCTTTAAAGCATATTCTCCTTCAGTGAGGAATGAAGCAAAGTCGTGTTTCTAACCTGTAACTGTATGGAAACACAAGCAAGTGGCCAAACCGGTGATTGTGAGGAAAAGTCTATTTGCGAGGAAGATGAACGCCGCTCTCAGACACGGACTGAACGACTAGTGAACATGCCAGGGTCATGTCTGAATTAAACTGATCCTTTTTTGGTTTAATTTTACAACGGTTTGTCTTGCTGCCCCCAGTGGCAGCAAGATGCTCTGACACGACTGAGAAGCAGCAGCGCAGCGAGGACTCGACCTGAGGCCTTCAGCTGCCACAGAAGTGCATGAATCGTCCATTTTTGAAAGTGTTTTGTAACTGACAAGTTCACTCTCCTCTTTAGCAATATTTTTAGTTTTTCAACTATTTGTTAGTTTGATGCCAGGGGCTGCGGTATCTTGGTGGTCAGTGCCGCAGTCTTGTAATCCTGAGGTTGCGGGTTCAGGTCAAGGTTGCGTCAGGAGCATCTTCCAAATCTTTCATGCAAGCTCGCTCACTGTGGCAACCCCTGAAGAAGGGAGCAGCTGAAAAAAACTTACTTATTTAGTTAGTTTGGTGTCTTTTTTTGAATAAGCAACCAACCCTGCGAGTAAATATTATGACTTTGTTTATCTATGTTTTTATACAGCTGTTGCTACATACACAGTATATGTGGACAAACATCTGTAAATAAGTTCAAACATGTTTTGTTTATAAGATGCTTGTCATCTTATCAGCTAAATAATAGTTACACAGATTTTTAACTTTTGCACTTCAAACATGATTTGAAAACAGACTCCTACTCTGCAAATACAACCGTGCTGAGGTACTTAATGAAATTGTGTAACATTATCACTGAGTTTGTCTTTTCGGTTGCTCAGAAAATAATCTTTGTTCAGTTGCTGTGGCAGGAAGGTCAAAAGTTTTTCTCCTCGTATTTAGATGCTCGTGGAGTGAAGAACAGTGTGCACTCAGTGGTTTTCTTTAGACAGCTGTAATAATCAAATATTTAACAGAGTAATTTTTGTTCAGCATCTACAGAGCCAGTGTCACAAAGCCTTCTCTAAAAGTGAGGAATACTCGGTTGTGGACAAGCTGGTTTCGACTTTGCACTTCAATTTCATCCCCGTCAAAACTAAAGGCAAAAGGTAACTTTTTCCACCATTTTCATGTAGCGCAAAAATAGTGTTTTCTTTCAGTTTGTATCTTTTTATTTCAGGTAATTAATTATATATATATTTATATGTGTGTGTGTGTTTTTTATTCCTACCAGACCAAAGTGCAGCGTTTCCTCTGTTCTTTTTGTCCGTGAACCATGTGGAGGAACCGATGTAAGTCACAGAGGAGGTCCAGATCACCCAGACGCTGTTAAAGTGGAGGAGCATCGGACCGTTGAGTTCAAGGACTCGCACACAAGACGGAGTAATAAAAATGAATCCTCACCTGGCTCTGCTCCACAGTTTCCTTCAAAGCGAGACAGGTGGAGCTGCTCCACTTACTCAAACAGATCCAAGCACAAATCTGTTCCATGTAAACAGACATGCAGACCGAGTCCTTTGACTTTGTGCACTCACAGAGCTGAGCCGGTGCAGATTCCTCAGGTGAAGTCAGAAACGTCCTCCAAAGGTGAATTTCAGCCCCTGTTTCCCTCCAGAGATGCTGAGGTCAACCATATGGATCAAATACCTCATAAGGACACAAACGGCTCAACAAAAACACAAAGTACAAATTCAGAGAGTGAAGTATCAGCAAATAGTATTATTGTTTCAGGACTTGGACATGAAGATCCAAAAACGGACAAGACTCTTCATGAGTCAAATACATTCTCAAAGACTGGAAATAATTTTACTGAAAAGGAAGACGAAAGCCTTTATACACCAAACTTCTGCACGGGCAGAAAAATTCAGCGAAGGGTCAGAGTTTATAAACACAAAAGACGGAAAATGGACACAAATGTGAGACATTCAGAGTCGGGTGGTGCACCTGACGACTCTCTGCTGAAGCTCTGGGAACTGTTTCAGTCCACTGATGACATGGATGTAGAGTTTCATGGCTTTACAGAATAAAAATGTACAAAAACTAAAGGGACAAGCAAATTTCTGAGCCACGAGCTACAATTATTTTATGTTTAACTTGTTTAACCCATTCAGATGTAATGCACATTTTATGACAAAACCACTGGATATTAAGGGAAGCTAAAAATATATATCAGTGAAACAGCCAAACTTGTCACTGTCCTCAGAGTTCTGTTTCTAAGCTGCTTTTTAAATTCAAAATATGAACTAAAAGCTTCACTTTTAGTGAGAGTTATTTATTTTTGTTCTATTCATTATATTAAAACCAAATCTAAGCCCAAATGCTCAAAACGATGTCGAGCAAAATAAAAAGACGTGAACCTCGCTTTAAATTAAAATGTGACATGTTTGCATCTGAATGAGTTAAAGAAAGTGTTTGTTTTTTTTTAAACATTGATTTTAGAATAACGGCAGCTTTTGTTCTGCTTTATTATCTTTTTTATGCCGCGTTGAAAGTTCTAGAAAATAAAGCTAAAATGGGACTAAAATGATGAATTTTGTTTGTTTATATTTTATGTACTTGTCAGTATTTTCATACATGATGCTTCACTCAAAAATAATGAGGAAGTTTAAAAGCAGACAATGTTTGCAGATGGATTTATAAAATGTCATGTTAACGTTTAAAAAAAATACAGTAATCTAAATTTTAAAGACTACAGCTAAACTGCCTTCACCATTTGTATTTTAAAGCTGACATTTTGCAGCAGGCGTGACATTGGATTTTCACTGAATATAAGCACACTAATCGTTTACACTCATCTGGACTTGCTGGCCTCGTTGAGAGTTTGAACAGGACTTGTTACTTCAGATAATACGAAGGACTTTGGTCCGCTCTTTTGTGTTTGTCCGGTTTGTTGTCCTCTACATCTCTGTGTGACGGTCCCTCCCTCATGGCTTCTGTCGTAATTTTCAAGGTATTTGTATTCGTAAAGCAAAGTGAAATGAGTAAAAGCAAACCTAACAGAAGTTAAATGTTACCTTTGTAACTTCAGGTGGCAAGTTCTAACTTCAGACATGCCTCGATACATCACCCTGAGGACCCTCTAGACAAGCCGCTGACCTCGGCCTGTTCTCGTTTAATTCTCGGATCCTCCATTCGTTATTTCTAATCTGACCCTTGCTCACATTATTCTGACAATCTGCAGAATTAATAACCCCCTGATCTAAATTCAAACGTGAACTTTCTATTAAAAACGATTGAATCTGAATTCTTGGCGTGCATAAATCCTAAACTGGTCCTAAGTTCAAAACATCATTTTCTATAGATGCTGCTATTTTAGATTAACTTGTAATCAAAGTCTGATTGTCTCATAAGATGGTAATTCTTGTTTCAGTGAGTTGTTTTTAAATACATATCACTGGTTCAGGTTAAAATTATTCATTATAATAATATTTTGAATTAAATAGTTAAAATCAAAACATTAGCCCCAAATATTTCTGTTAATTTAATCTTTCTTGTTAACTGATTGTTATTTTCATAGTTTGTGATTTTATTTTGAATTTTGCCAGTCTTCCCTGTAATTAACAGACTTGGCCCTCAGGTCTTGAGATCTGATCAACAAAACGGATGAATAAATTAACTAATCTAAATATTAATTGATAAAGTGGATCTAGAGCCTAAAACAGAATTGTCTCATCCTGCTCACATGCTTCCTATTATAATTGCATTATGTTTTTATATATATTTAGGACTTTTATTTGGGGGATGTGGTTGTACATTTGACCACTCATGAATGTCTGGTATTTAAAAAAAGGAGAGACTGGGTGTCAGTGATTCAATGTAGAATGGTTAAACAGTTTGTTTCAACCTGACAAAAAAATGTTTCTAACTCCTTAATAAAATTTAGTCAGTTAAAAAAAAACGTAGCCTCTAAAATAACATTGTTCTCATTAACTCTGGAAGATTTCATGACAACATCTAAGAAGTTCCCATTTACTTATTTAGATTTTTTCTTTTCAAAACAAAATGATTTCTCAGTTGACAATAAAAGACTTTCAAAATAAAAGTACCCCCACAGGTAAAAGCAAACAATAAGGCCACGTCTCCTTGCAGCTTCAATGTGAAGACAATCATTCTTTTCACCTGGTTTTGTCTTTGGGTGGGGACTGGGCACATGATGGAGGAGGAACTGGACCTCCTTTCTCCTGGACGTGCTCCTCTTCCAGCTCCAGCTTCTCCTTCCTGCCCCCACTCATACTTATGCAGTAGCTGTTTTTGCAGTTTGACATCGATGTGCTTTTAAAGGAGGTGTCCCCACTCCTCCCTCTCTCAGTCTCCCTCCCCTCCGCGCCTCCTCCTGGCTCCGCGGGGTCCTCGGTGCGCTCAGACGCGCTCGGCGTTCAGACTCGCAGGCACCCAGATGACCCACCACCAGCGGAACTGCACGAACCAGACGACCCGGCCCGGCTCCTGGCTCCCCTAGCGAAGGCAGAGCCCTGAGAGCCTGCTGCTGGACTACCGCATTGTTATTTTACTAACAGGGCGAAGAAGCGGGGATGATGCTGAGGATGCGCCCGCGATGGTGGACTTCTCTTTTGTGCGTGTGTGGATTAATGCACGTCGCTCATCAGAGCAGCCCCGAAGCCCTAAATGGTACCTCAGTCAGTTTTTGACGTTTCAGGGTCCGTTTCGTGCTCGTGTAAACGGTTAAATCCTTAAAACAGCAGGCCTCTGCGTGGTGTTTAAACTAAACGTAGCTGATTTATCTTATCGAAGGAAATGAAACGCATCCACATCTCAGATGAGGCGGGTGGGGGTGTGTGTGTGTGTTGGGGGGGATTTGCTGTGAAAGTGTTTCCATCAGTCTGTACACCGAGCAGGAGGCGGAAAAGGAGGAGGAGGTTGGTGATGGTGTTTACTGTCTGTGCAGGAGACGCCTTGTCGAGCCTGCAGGCTCTCCGTGACGCGGGCAGGTTCGTGGGGAGGGAGGACACGGTGCCTCTCCGCCTGCTCTACAGCAGGGAAGACCGTACACAGATCACCCAGGATGAGCTCAGCACCAGGGTGAAGGCCAGCCCTGCCTCCACGCAGGTACGCACACGCACGCTCCCTGTGTATGCGTGTTTTCATGTTGGATGTAGGTGAGAGCTGGATAGGTGCCTCCTGGACGCATCCGTTTGTTTACCTTCACTCCTCTCCTCGACTGTTTGGATTGTTTATTAATAAACAAAAACTGAATATTAAAATATGTAGGCCTCACTAATGCGTGCAGGTGCTATATGGGTCATTATAAATTAAAAAAAAAAAAAGTCCTACATATAAACTGGTTTAATTATTATTATTATTTTTGTAAATAACTACAGTTTAAGTTCTGAGCAGTAAAGTATTAATAATAGTTGTGATCAATTAGGGTTTGATTGGCAGCTTAAATGTCCTGCTGTCCCAGCAGCTGTCTCACCTGCTCACATCTTATGAATGAATCAGAAACTTGAAGCAGGATGGTTCAACAAATCAGCTTGTTGCATCATAGGCGTGCATGTTGTGCAATTAATACCAATAAATTACAAAGAAAGTCCATTTGCATTCTTTTTAATGTTCTTTAATAACACGTAATTGTCACCACAAGGGGGCGCTGAAAACTTTTTTATCTGGACAGTGTTTAACAACAAAGGCAATCACTGAAACATCTGTCTGCTTTTTTATTTGTATTTTATTCCTGGTTTTGGTCTCAAACACACCCTGACTTCTGTTTTTATGTCTGAATAATTACAACAATTGTTTTAGAAGTTTAGACTGTTGCACTTTTTGAAGATATCTCTTGGTTTATAAGCATTGATTAAGTTTTTTGTCATATGTTGAAAAACAAAACAAAACGTTAAGTCAAAAATATGCAGAAAACTCTTCACAGTTTTTACAACACAGCTATAGTTGGTTACACACTTCTTGACCAATGCTCTGTATGAACCTCTGAGTTTATTGAGTCTGTTCAGGGAAATGGCACATCTGGATTCGTATTGATTAGACATCACTGCACCTGTCACGTGTTTCATGAGGTGTACAGCTTTGGTTTGTTTAGGTCCGATCGTTGAGGGCTCAGGGAGAGGACAGAGCTTCAGAAGTCTGCAGGCAGGAAATTGTTCATCTTTTCTCTCCAACTTCTCAGGTAGAGATGCTAATCTATAGGTAACTGAACTAACAGCCAATCAAATATCATTTTATGGTTTTAAGCTGAAGCAGAAACTAATCAATACAAGCTTGCTTTGAAATTTTTATCAGTATTCGTAATTCAATCATTTATTCGTAGCAACGGACCAGTTTTCTAGTCTATAATTTGTGACCTGTGCTAGCAAAGTGAGTCACAGTGAGTAATTTTCCAACACTCTGTTATTGTTATTTTTTAGATTCCCACCTCAAAAACCTTAAAATAATTCATGTTTTGTTGATTTTTGGCAATTTATCACCTGGCCAGCAACAAGCTCATTTAGTTTAGAGAGCCTGTTTAAAAGCTTGATTTTATTGGTCTGGAGAGATGTAATCGGGAATTCCAGCCAAATTCCAGTGATTTCCATTTAAAAAGGAGCTTTACAAGGACATCAAACATTATACAAAGGGATTTCCCAACTCTACGGCAACCAGTTGAGAAAAAGATAAAGGAAATTCTGAGGATTCTTGTTAGAAAATCTTTAATTTAAAGGTAGATTTGGAAGATTATAGGCTATTTTACAGTAGTGGGCACAGCTAACCAAAAAGTTAGCTCTGCTAACCCATTTTACGCTAACAAAAAAATTATCTTTGCTAACGCTAAACCACTAACCGCTAAGACGGCTGTCACTCAGTGGGCGTCTTCGTCTCCTTTCAGTTGAAGCTGCATCGACCAATCACATCTTGTCACGTGTACATGTTAGCCAATAGCGTGCCTAATGGATTCTTGGAGACACGCCCACATCTGACGGGAACAAGCTTGTGAATTTTGTTAGCGGACTTAAAGTCGATGAAACCTAATTTAGCTGAAGCTAATTCCACTTACGGTTTCCAATGTTAGCAAAAAATGCTAATCCCTTAAATGAAATATTAGTCCCACTGTTAGCTGATAGGCGGAACTGTGCAAACCACTATTTTAGTTACTGGGATTGCTAGATAGTGTCTTTATGGACTCGTTGTTGCACATTGTTACTGCAAAAATCTATATTTTCACATTTAATTTTATTTATTATTTATTTTTGCACTACAGCCTGAGCTCATTACGAGCATATTGTCTTTGATTTATTACCCAAGTAGTCATATTTTCATGTTTTAGTTCTTCCCTTTGTTGTTAATTAAACGAACACTTTAAATACTGTAATTTCTAAATGGGTTTTTGTTGTACATTGATAGTTTTTCTTTTAATTGACCACAGTTTGGAGAAAAAGAGTTTAATCCTGAATGGAGTGAAGAGCTTAGAGCTAGTCTGAGAGAGGCAGAGATTAGTTTGGATTGCTGCCGTCTTTAAACAACTTCAGTCTCAACAATTTTATAGCTGTTCGTTCAAACACTATTTAATTTGCTTTTTCGTTGCTGTCAATGTTACATTACATAGTTATTTACAAAATATCTTATAGTTATTTGCAAATGTAAGCAGCAGCAGCTAGCTGTAGCATCAATTCACTTTGGTCTTGGCTCCATTTAGTCGTTAGCTCCAAATGGAGGTCATTCAAAGATCTATCTACAACAGGTAGGATGTTAACTGTTCATAACCTTTTTACAAAATCCCACTTCAAATGATCTGAAATATCCCTTTAAGATGTGCATTTATTTATGCTTGTTAGCTCAGGAGACTAATTTGTTAAAAATTTAACAGAATTTAAGATTAAACACATTCGCACCTAATGCAAAGTTGATTTTAATTCACTACACAGAAGTACAATTGATCTCAATTTAATATTTTTGCATCATTACAGCTTTTTTAATGGAACTTTTTTTTAAAGACTTTGCAGCTCAAGAAGCACAGCCTCAAGAGTTCAGACCAACGTTTCATACGAGGGAGAACGCATCTTTGATATCTTTGAGTCTTTGAGCTGCCTCTTCTCCAGAGAGTTGAAACCTGCAATGTCACTTTTACACAAAGTTTGATCATTTGTTGTCCGTTTTTAGATTAATGTCCTAAAAACAAATCTGTCAATGCGTGACACACAGGAATTTATTTATAGACCTGTGCTGAATTGTCTATTTTCAGTCTCGGGCACAAACACAACTGCGTGAGGCGAGTGGGGGGTCGGGTTGGGTAAACTGCATGTAGTTTTTTCGTAGAATGAGTTTGTGCGCTCGGTTTGTGCTCCCGCCTGCCTCTTTGCGTCTAGCACTTACAGTCAGATGCTTTTGAGGGGTAGACGTCAGATCGGCTGAAGCCAGAAATCGATGTGAGAAGATTCAGAGGTGGTTTCTTAACGATGGCCTGGCTCTGTCGAGATGGGTGTGCTTTCATTTGCCACAGTTACCGCTTCCTCCAAGCATGGATTCAATCTGCACGATTGGGTTTCAGGAGACCTTCGTCTGTGCTTACGCAGCTCTTACTTGCTCATATATGCATTGAGCAATACACACATTCACACACACCAGCAAACAATAGAGTGTGTGGTCACAGGGGACATCTGGGGCTGAGGTCATCCTTGGGTGAGCACAGGGGCACTTCCTGAAATAAATGAAAAAATCTCCCTTCACCCCTCCTCCTCTCGTTATCACGCAGACTGATCCATAATAAAAGTAGCCCGTGGGTCACGCTGAAGGGAGGAGCCATGTTTAAGGTCAGCACTGGGAGTCTTCTGGACCTACAGAAATTATAGTTGGGAGTTCTTATTGACCCAGAGGGTGTGTGATAAAGCATGCACCATATGTGCCCAGCACTTGGAGTAAATCAGACCCTGCTCTGTTGCAGTCAGAGAAGAAACAGGATTTATTTTTGTGTTTGTGTTCAGGCGGTCAGAAAAACAAAAAAAACATCACCCAGTAAGCTGCTCGGCTGGATTTTAGAAATGTATTGTCTTTACAAATGAAGTGAATGTGTCAAAGTATGATGAATTTTTCACTAATAGCTCAAGTTTCACCGTCAACGTCCCAGACAAAAATAAACTCAGCTCAAGCCCAGTAAAACTAAGCTTGATGACTTAATGAAAACCATCATTTCCTGCTGATTTGTGCTGCGAGAATAACTGCAGCCATCCATCAATGTTGAGGAAAGGCTCATCCGTGTGAATGCTAATGAGCCGAACATAATTGTGCTTGCCATTAGTTGTAAATAATCAGTGTTTTTGCATTTTTAGGTGGACCATGTGGCTCAAGCAAGCTTTCAGGTGGATGCTTTTGGAAGAAAATTCATTCTGGATGTGGAATTGAATCGGTGAGTATGAATTTATTGAATTTACCGTCTGGCTGCGAGTACTTTAGCTGCTTTACTCCTCCTCTTAATGCTCGTCTTGGCTGGCTAGTAGCTGAAGTATTCTTTGTGAGTGACTTGTTTGAAACTCATAAAATATTATTTTAATGTTTACATGTTGACAAATATAAAAAAAGTACAGAATCTTAATTCAAGTTTAATGCTGCCTTTTATTGTTTCAGCCCAGAGAGCTGTTTGGTGCTTGTTTTTAGGAATGCATAAATAAATGTGGCCGAGCAGCTGACTGTGTGTCCGTCTGTCTGCAGCAGGCCAGTCATTGTGTGTTGGACTATAGATGTGATTTAGTGGTTCCATAAAAATAGGAAGTGATTTACAATAAAAGCTTTCGAGCTGCTCTGTCAGACACCGATATTGATCACAGCTGTGCTGACGGAAAGCAAGCTCCTCATTTCCTGTCCCTCCTCTCCGTCTGCTTCTAACTTCTTTTTTTTTTTTGCTTTTAAAATAATCAGACAATTTGTTGACGGTTTTCGCTAAAACCGTCTCTGTATTCTTTTGTCGTGTTTCCCGATTCACCGGTTCAAATTCGAACACAAAATGCTGTGAACTTGGCACGCACATGCATCTTCATCACTGTGGAGATCATTCTGTCGCCGAGCGAAACCTTTCGTCGCAGGAATTCCCAGGTTGGAAGCAACATGTTTCTGCAAAGCCTGCAGCTCACTGAATGATGCATTGGCCAGTCGTGGGTATGAATGTGTCACGCATACGTCTACGCACAAGCTGTCCCACAGAAACATGATGTAATTATTCATTTGTGACACACTGGGATGAAAGCTAAGCTGGGAGTGCTGAAGATGGTCCATCAGAATGTCACCTGAAAGAAAGCAGACAAGTGCTTCTATGAAACATGAATTACAGACTTTTAGGTTTAACAGGATCATTTTTGACATTTTTGTTCATGGAATCTATGGCTCATGTAGATTTTTTTTTTTTAAATTATTGAAATAACTTGATGGAAGTGGTTATGTTGCATTGTTCCACTGTGTTTTGTTCACACAGACTGTCTGTCTTCATTCCCTCACACCATCATTCTGACTCATTCTGTGTCATCATCCCAGGGTTTTATTTTATTTTTTGAAGTTTGATCCTATTTATGTCATTCTTTGTTCTTTACTTACCTTTTTCTATCACTGCTCATTGTTACCGTCAGTTTCCAGGATTTCTCTGGATCTGGACATTGAGATCACCTGCTCCTTACTCCAGTAATCACACATAAATATACTATAATGGCATAATTTAAGCTTCTTTCTATTTTAGCTATTTTTCAGCCTTTTTTTTCTTCCTAATTTAAGCTTTTTTCAGATAATTTCTACTTTTTGTGCTCATTTCTGTTTCTTTCAGCCTAATTGGGCAAAATTGTGCTCTCTCCACTTCCTTCTGGTAATTTAAGCTTCTTTCTACTTCAGAATCAGAATAGTTTTATTATCATTGCACCGAGATACAACGAGAACATGTACGTACAGTCATCCGAAAGATGGACGGAGTGCACGAAGCTTCTGCCATAAAGCGCGGCCTTCTTGTTTTTATACAGAATAATATTTTTAGATAGAAAAGGGACAAAGCCATGAGGAGAGGGGTAGTGGCATTACATAAAGATCTCTTCACACCTTGTCCTTATAGGGCAAGATTTAACTATAGACATAAAAAAAACCTGTCAGCCAAAAGCACATTTATGAACGTGTACATTTACAAATGAGGCAGTCCATGAAGCCTTAGATAGTCCATTGTCCTGATAAGATGGTGGTCAGCCGGCACAATTCTAATAAGACTCCACAGAAGGGGGAGGGAGGGGGGTTGCGATAGACAAAGCTTTTCCTTAGTTTACACATTTCCCAGGAGAAATTGATAAGTCGGCCAGTTCCAAGGCCAGCTGGGGAGAGATTCAGATAATCCACAATTGTTGATTTATTCCGGCAGACTATTTTTCCGTCAGCCTTTGAGTCTGTACTGATAAATTTCAAGGTTCAAAATGTCCAGATCAGGATGCATTCCACTGGTCCGTGCTTACGAGCTTCTTCAAGATGGTGTTTTCATGCTGACGAGTCCCAAAGCCTCAGGTGGCACGCGATTCAAATCACTTCCAACTTACGGTTTCACTCGTAAATCAGCTGATTTTGAGTCCTCCAGCACGAACCAAACCTTCGCATAGACAGCAGCTTGTCGAGGTCCAAATTAACTGCGGCCGTCTTCTTTGTATGTTGATAAACCAGGATCCAGACAATCCCAAAAACAAGAAACCTGTTATCATAGATCCAATTCTTGGCAATTTCAGCATCCTGGGTCGATAGCAGAGGTAGACACATCCCCCCCC